TCAGAAATTCACAATGCTTCAGCATATTCAAGGAAAAAACACTGGTGAACTTTAAGATATGACAACAGGAAACTGCCAAAATGAAACACACAAAAAAAGAAAAATATACTTTATACATTGATTTAGTATAACTGTTATATGTTTTATGTTTTTGCCTATTAGTCTGGTTGTTAATAAGTAGGTATGACAATTAACTTTATAATGACATAAATAAATGAATCTGATGTTAATAAAACAAAAGGGAGGGTGGAGGAAGGGGAAAAAAAAAAGATAGATATTATGTGCCTGTACCAATTCCCTATGATGAATGCGATCATTATATACTACAAACACATACTAATAAAAATTTTAAAATTTTTTAAATGAAAAGAATGAAAGCTACTTCCCTATCTCTCTTGCACAGACAGCTTACCCTCATGATATAGGGTGTTCTTCTTTCCCTACTTTTACTTGGCCCAAACTTGCTCTGCAGAGCCTTTTTTTTTTCTACCGTTAGTAAAACTTTGCTACTATTAAAAAGAGAATAAAAAACAAGACAGAAGAGAACATTTAAACTATGGGATACTATCAAAACATACACTGCATCTGTAGTTGCAATATCAAAAGGAGAATGAGAATAGAAAATATATTAAGTTATACCCGTGAATGTTACAAATTGATGGCTGGCATCTAGCCATAGTTTCAGGAAGCTCAAAGACACCAAGTGGAAGAAATACCAAAAAAAGTCACATGGGTGTCATATTGAACCTAACAACAAAGATGTCATTAAGGAAGCCAAAGAAAAATAATGCCATACCTCTGAAACAACAACGACAAGAATTACAATAGTATTGTGATCAGAAACCATAAATGCAAGAAGAATGGGATAAAATAGTTAAGTGTCAAACAAAAAAAAAACTACCAACCTAGAAATCTCTATCTAGGGAAATTATCCTTTAAAGGTGAAGAAGAAATAAAGGCTTTCTCAAACAAAACCTAAGAGAATTTATCAAGTAGACCAATAGTGCAAGAAACATTAAAAAGTTCTTCGGATAGAAAGAAAATGATAAAGATCAGAAACATTATATAAAGAAAGGAAGGTATCACAAAAGAAATGATGAAGATTGAAGTAAAAGTCTTTTTGGTTCTTTTATTCTAATTGATTTAAAACAATAATATTCATTTAAAGCAATAGTGATAAAAATGTATTGGCTGATTAACCACATGGATAAGTGAAATGAATGACAGAAATGGCACAAGACATGGAAGGCAGGAATTGAGAACATTCAGTTATAAGGGTCCTGCACTATATATGAAGCAATTTTGGTTTTGTTTTGGTACCAGGGATCGAACTAGGGTCCTTGCGCTTGCAAGGCAGATGGCGGAACCACTGAGCCAAATCCCCGGCCCTATGAAGCAATTTTGGAAAGTAAACTTAGATAAGTTAAAATCTAAAATATACAAAATTCTTGGATAACACTAAGAATTTTTCAGAGGTATAAATAATACAACAAAATAGGTGATTAAATGGAATCATATAAAATGCTCAACACACCTGACAAAGGAGGAAAAAAAAAAGAACAAATAGAACACAGAAAACAATCAGGAAGATGATAGCTATTAATCCAACTACATAAAAATTACAACCAGGCATATTGGCACAAGCCTATAATCCCAGTGCTCTGGGAGTCTGAAGCAGGAGGATCACAATTTGAAGCCCAGCCTGGGCCACTCTATAAATCATATAAAAAGTGGGGGTGGTGTGGGGGCTGGAGGCGAAGCTCAGTGCAAAGGCCATAGATTCAATACCAGTATAAAAAACTGTATCAACTATTAATGGTATGAATAAACAAGTAAAGGGATTGTCAGAGAAAACAAGATCCAAATATATATGTCCACAAGAAATACACTTTAAACATAAACAATAAAATAAATTTAAAAAGGCAGGGCTGGGGATTTAGCTGAGTGGCACTATGCCTGCCTTGCAAGTACAAGGTTCTTAGTTCAATCCCAGGTACAAATTAATTAATTAAATTTTAAAAGGGATAGGAGCAACATGAGAAAAACAGGAAGAAAAAGGAATTCTGGGAGTCCATCCATGACTAGAAACAGGGAAAGCTGACAAAAGTTGTTGGAAGCAACCTCGTAAGAACTTTGGAAGACAGTCAAAGGTCACAGCCATTCATATGCATCACCAGGGGAAAGATAACTTAAACACTGTAAGAGATATGTGGGCCATTTTAACCACCCTATTCACAATTCACAAAAGTAACAATCTAAGATGCTAAGAATAATTCAAACAAAAGCATGTAAGAACCCAGTCAAGAAAACTTATACATTTCATTAAAGTTCATAAAAGAAAACTAAATTAAAACATACCATCCCTCAAAATAGAAAAGCCAGTGTGCTAAAGATGCCTATTTTCCTAATATTATCAATAAAAATTAATGTAATTCTGATCATTATTTACTCAACTTGTCAAGCCAATCCTCAAACGTATTTAAGAAATCGGGAGGCTGAGGAAGGAGGATTGCTGAGAGTTGGAGGCCAACCCTGAACTACATAGCAAGACCCTGTCTCAAATCCCCCTCCAAAAATGTATTTAAGATGAAGAGAACTGGAAAAAAATGAGATAAAAAAGAAT